TTGAATATGCATGGAAAAATAGACAAAAGTTCACTATGGTGGAGTTGACTCCGTCTCAAGTTTATGCCTTTTCCTTATCGTGATAGGCTCAAATTCAAGATGTATTGCATTGATATGGATATTGGCCTAGAATCTATTAAGATAGGATCACAGAAAGTGAGCTATTCATTCAGGTGAATACAGCCATACTAAGATGTGTTGACATGCATACTTTGTTTTCTTCAGTTTTGTATATAATAACAGGGCTTTTCTATGATTTTTAGAAAGAATTTTTACTTTTAGGTTTTTTTAAAAACTTTATAGCATCTATTTCAATAGGAATATTTTGTCAAAACAAAACTTTAGGAAAAGCCCTGAATCTGTATTTTTTTTAAATTATTTTTGTTCTGTTCTGCTTGTCTCTTTTCTTTTTTTCATGTTATTCCTCTTAGACTTCCGGGTAAAAGCTGTAGTTAAAAATACAGGTAAATTATTTTTTTTCCTAAAATATGCATGAAAGAGCTTATTTAAGCATCCCTGTTCAGATGTGATGGTTATACCTAAACAATGGCAAAAAAACTCAAACGTATTGTTTTTCTCATGCTCTCTTTCTATGAGTGGTATTGGGGTCACATTTTATGGACAGATGTACTTCTGGACATCCATTTCCATAATGCTTTTTAACATGTTTTTGTTTACAACTGGTTGTGTTTGTGTATATTGAACATTATTGCTGCTGAGAACACAAATACTTGTGCAATGACATGTGCTTGTTCATTTTTACACGTAACCTTCTACTTATACCTATTTTATTTTTATGGTTACAGGCATCCTTCCTTTGAGACATCAACGCAAAGGCCCCAAGATAATTTTAGCAGCTTTTACGATATTGAGATCATACAGCGCTTAGTTGAAGTGGAATTACAGAAAACACAGATGTCTCAATGAAAATTGGAATGGTACAAAATTGTGTCCCAAATACACATTCAAAGATTAGAATACCAGTTGACAATCCCTTCAATATCTTACTTACCATTTACTGAATGAAAAATGACTTGATTGGTAATTATATCATTAGCCTGACAAATCTGGCCATACCAAGGTTCTCAGACATGATATATAGGATTATCATATATTACCACAGGTAGGACCAGACATCAAATGTCACTATCCACTATCTTCAAATGACAAAATCTAAATTTATTAGAACTTTTGGTATCTATACAACATTGTATGAATACCAAAGGTTTATAATTTTGGCAAATTGTGAAGTTTTTTTTTTTAAAAAAAAGCAGATTCAACTCCATTAAAAAGTGACATTAGATGGCTTTCTCTACCAGTGATGATATAACACCAATATTTTATAGAAATTGGTTGGACCTGATTTGTCAGATAATAAACTATTTATTTACACAATATTCTGATGTACAGCTATTTCTAATCAATTTAAAATGAATAAGCTTATTTATAATCAAATTTGTCTAACACAGCTTTTTAAAGTGATTATTTGAAAACTAAATTAATTTCTATACCATACGTTGAATAAAAGTGTCATTCTTGTTGATAGTTTTGAATTTTATATCATTAAAGGTGCACTCTTGCCGTCCTGTACACCCTGACCTTGAAAATAATAGTCATGATTTTCTGAAAGATAATACTTTTGATTTGTCTCGCAAAATTTCAGATATGACACAGTGTCTGTATTAATGCATTTGTCATTAGATGAATATGGACACTTCACCTCAATCACTTAATGATTATCCATCTATCTATCCGGTGAGGAAGCTAGAAACGGACTACCTTTACAAACATTGGTCGACTGTATCCTGTGTTTAACAAACTCGTCAATAGCAATTTTTTCAAACTTCTTTCTATGGATACGAGCAGCTTGTATGTTTGGGAAGGTGCAGTCATGGACTTAGAAAGTTTTTCAAGGTGTGTTCTATCAGTTGCCATATATGGTGGGTACATTTCCAGGCACACTGGGATTCAGCTATAATGCCATGTCAATGTGATACGAAACTTTCTTCTTCATTTCTGCTA